CCTTTGTGAAACTGAGCACTCAGAGTTCCAGACTTTAGGTCAGATCAGTTTAGAGTTGCGGATATAAATCTGAGTTAGTTAAACCTGCTTCATGAAACAGACCCCAGCTGTTTGGTCAACTTTTGTTTGAAAAGGTCTTTGGTTTATAGCTCTGATTTTAAGATGTCAATTTTGTTTTTATTTCGATTTGAAAGACTGTTTGAAATTGGATTTGATTTTGCTTTTTCAAAAAGTGAACCATAAACACTAAACTGTCAAACCTTTAAAATTTGAATTTTAATTTTACTTCTCCTTTCCCCTGACTGAGCCAGACCGTAACACAGTGTATGCATTTATTGTATATTTCCTCACCTGAATGTCCTCCTCGTGGGTTTGAATTGCATTTGCTATGTCTGGAATCAAACCGTCTTCACTGAGTTTTCTTTCAAGTCCAGAGACAAGGCCATCCACCCTCTGAATTTGACTCTCCAGGCTAAGAGACGCATTTGCTCTGAGAGAAACACATAAATACAGAAAGTTACAATAAAAAAGACACCAAAACATTTTAATGCATCAGCTGAATCAAATTATGTATCATTTTTTAAACCCAGCAGAACAGTCAAAACTTTCCCACCACTACCATTACTTCTATTAATAATACAGCTGCTATAAAAATAAAGATAAGACAAGCTTACTTTTGATGGTAGAGGTCCGCCAGCGCAGTTAAGCTGTCATACTTGTTGATAGCAGCACTGAGTTGAAGCGACAGTCCAGACAAGGTGTTGTTAGGATCCTCAGACAGCAATGGCTGTAGGTCAGCCTCTGCTGACTGGATCTGCTGTTCCACATCCTTGAGTTCCTCGGCAGCTTGCTGCATAAGAAACAAATTATTTAAAACAGCTCTTAATGGTTCGCTCAATTGCAAACAAAAGTATATATAGCATTCATGTTATAGGTGTATCTAAATCAATCAGAATATAATATAATTGATTAAGGTATCGAGGTATTCTGTAATAAAAGGGCAGCAGGTCTTTGAGGACAGCATCCCTGGAAGGAGTTTACCGGATCTGAAATTTCACCCTACTGGATGCTGCTCCAGTCTGGGTGACAAAGAAAGCCTCTTGAATCTCTTGATTTCAGTAGAGATGCCAGAAACTGACATATGCAGATTAATTCCAACCCCAGGGATGCATTTCCCACATTTTCTATAAATGTATTTATATTAAATAATGGATTACTGCTAAAAACTCTGACTCTACTGGTATGTTCATGTACTGCTTGTCCTGGGGTCCTTTTGCATTATTGACAGCCTCATTTTGGTGTGACATAGATATCAAAACGTTAAGGAAGCTGTGAGGCAGACAACATGTCTACTCTTAAGGTTAGGCTTGAAACTTTCCTTC